AGGATTGTCAGGAAAAGGCCATTCAAAAGTGTTGGGGACTTTCACAAGGAGTGGACTGAGGCTGGAGTCAGTGCATCAAGAGCCACCACACACAGACGGATCCTGGACATGGGCTTCAAATGTCGTATTCCTCTTGTCAAGCCGCTCCTGAACAACAAACAATGTCAGAAGCATCTTACCTGGGCTAAAGAAAAACAGAACTGGTCTGTTGCTCAGTGGTCCAAAGTCCTCTTTTCTGATGAGAGCAACTTTTGCATCTCATTTGGAAACCAAGGACCCAGAGTCTGGAGGAAGAATGGAGGGGCACACACTGCAAGATGTTTGAAGTCCAGTGTGCAGTTTCCACAGTCTGTGTTGATTTGGGGAGCCATGTCATCTGCTGGTGTTGGTCCACTGTGCTTCATTAAGTCCAGGGTCAACACAGCCATCTACCAGGAGATTTTGGAGCACTTCATGCTTCCTTCCGCAGACGAGCTATATGGGGATGCTGAGTTCATTTTCTAGCAGGACTTGGCACCTGCCCACACTGCCAAAAGCACCAAAACCTGGTTCAATGACCGTGGGATTACTGTGCTTGATTGGCCAGCAAACTCGCCTGACCCGAACCCCATTGAGAATCTATGGGGCATTGCCAAGAGGAAGATGAGAGACATGAGACCGAACAATGCAGAAGAGCTGAAGGCCACTATTGAAGCATCCTGGTCTTTCATAACACCTCAGCAGTGCCACAGGCTAATAGATTCCATGCCACGCCGTATTGAGGCAGTAATTGCTACAAAAGGGGCCCAAACCAAGTATTGAGTACATATGCATGCTCATACTTTTCAGAGGTCCAATATTGTTCTATGTACAATCTTTGTTTTATTGATTGCATATAATATTCTAATTTTCTGAGAGTGTGGATTGGGGGTTTTCATGAGCTGTAAGCCATTATCATCACAATTATGACAAATCACAGCTTGAACTATCTTGCTTTGCATGTAATGAGTCTATCTCATATATAAGTTTCACCTTTTAAGTTGCATTACTGAAATAAATTAACTTTTGCACGATATTCTAATTTTTTGAGTTTTACCTGTACACTAGCTGTTTTTAGGAATGGATTCCAGAACGATTAGTGCATGAATTATCCCATTTGAAAAGAATATTTTTCTCTTGAGATCAGCTGCATCATCTTTTCTAGCAAGTGTATATCAGACTTCATCTCTGTTAAGGCCAGGCAAATCAGTTTTGCCTGTTTTCAGTAATAAAAAGTATTAAGCAAGTGAGGTCTGAGTATTTTGTATTATATGCATTGTTATTTTAAAACACAGGAATTTGTCTCACGGTAACAACTACATTTCACTATCATGGCTGAAGATGTGAAAAAGCGCTTGCTTGAATATAATAAGATGAGGGACTCGAGATGTTTGCTAGAAGGAAAGAGTGAAATGTATTGGCTCAGGCCCCAGAAAAAACATTATCCTCAAAGTAATCGGGCTTCACTAGAGAACTACAAAGAAGAAAAACAGGAGTATGACAGTGGCAGGACATCCTGGATAAAAATAACTCCTCCTAATAAAGAAAAACGGCATTTTCCTGAAAAAAGTAAGTTTGCACATATTGCACTTCAAATAAATATTGAACTTCACACATCTGTAATTTCTTCTTTAAATTAAGAGGAGGAATTCAGTTGTAGTGGGTCCATTACCCTATTGCTGCAAACTAAAATTTTATTGGTCCAGATATTTTGGTGTACTGGGTGTGTGTGTACACTATATATGTATATGATTGCATCACTTCTGCTTTTGTTGTTAAGCAAATCATGGGTCATTAACATTAAGTAAGATATTACATGACCACAACTTGGAATTTTACTGCTGTTTTCTCTATTTACTCTGTGCGAAAGGTGCTTTTTTTTTCAAGAGGCAACTGACTTTCTGTTTTTTTCTTTGAAAACATTTCACTTCTCATCCAAGAAGCTGCTTCAGAAACTTTTTGGATGAGAAGTAAAATATCTTCAAAGAAAAAAACAGAAAGTCCAGTTGCCTCTTGGGGAAAAAAAGCACCTTTGAGACAACCATGATTTGGATGACTGGGAATCTCCATAGACATTTACTCTGCTGGTTATGAAGCACACAGATGTCACTTATGTAACCATGGGGACATTGTGATGGCCATAAATGTGAGGATTGGTTGAAGAACCCTTTTTCCAAATGTAACTTTGAACTGTTGCTAAACAAGGAAATGAGTAAGCAAGGATTACCTATATGTACAGCATATACAATTAAACCCAGGTATATGGTAAGTATCTAGAGAGGCAGCTGTCTGAAAAGCATTTTCTGAAGGTCACATACTTTCCCTGAAAGGCTAACCTCTATAGGTGTAGACATCCTCTTCCTTCCAAAAACAATCAGAAAACATTTTAAATTATGTAATGGTGAGAATACCGGGAGATTAAAGATGACATTAAACCTAATGCTGTTCTGTAAATAAATTCCAAATTGGCTGCATGATTAAAAGCTTCCTTCCTAAATGCTTGTAGCATACATTAATGTTTCTATTGTTTCTCTGGTTGAAAGGAGACAATAAGGACAAATTATGTTATCCAGCTATTTCCTTGGAGTCCTTGCAACAAAAATAGTTTGTAGTCAATAAACAATTCTCCTAGCATTCTTGACTATTTACCTGCATTGCCCCAACAAATGTGTCTGAAAATATGTTCTCTGGGTAGAAAACTATATATTATTTAATAAATAAATTTGAATATAGAAATATATGATACATAGAGGTTTCTCTATATCAGTGTCATCTTAATAGTATCTGACAGGCACCCTTCTTTATCATGCTCTTGGTTACCTCCTAAGGTCCACATGATCCCAATCCCTCATCTTTCAAGAATGCCTTAAAACTCTGGCACCTCCTCTAAGTGGCCATTTCTGGACAGATAATCAAAATGGCTTCCTCAGCACATCACAGGCCCGGAAAATTATGTTTAACTAGCTACTGTAAATTATAAGCTATATGTGATTGCTGGTGCTGTAATTCTTGTTTCTTTTATATTACTATTCTATAACTTTATTTGTCTTGTAACAATTCAGGCCAGATTAAATAAATTTATTTCCTAATTGTATCCCCATAGTAACAAACCTTTGGATGTGGTTGGGATTGGAGAGAATGATTGATCCAGAATTATTCAGAGGGGACTATGGTTGAATTGGGACTTGAACCTGGTTTCTCTAAACATTATATTACACTGATTTTCACACATTAAAACTATAACAAAAGAGCCAAATTAGTTTTTTAAGGGTCAATATTATTCTGCCAACGCATTAGTCAAAATCATTTCTGTTGCTTTTAGCATGTGCTCCAAAATACTGGGGGAACCATGGTCTCTTCTTTCATTATTTATTTATTTATTAATATAAATATATTTATTATTAATGTAAATCTATTGGCAGCCCAGTTCCAGTGGTCGCTCAATATGAATTAATGTATCTTGTGATGAAGCGAACAGGTATTCCATTTTACTGAGAATTCTTTGGTCTTAATCACCAACTTTTTTGTAAAACAAATATTGATGTTGAATATATAATAGAAGAATAAACTACTATGTTATTCCTATTCAATTTATATCAAAACACTATGGAGAGACCCAGTACTTCTTTTCCTAGCCCTAATTTTATCTCGCTTGGCTCATAATTACATTTCATTTTTATGATCAGAGGAAATGCTGCTTGAAGTAGCTTTTCACTTTAAACTGTTCATAGGTGATTTTATAGCCTTGCAATGATTTTTACTATTTGGTTATTTTCAGAGAAAGACATTGAAAAAATATGAACGACATCCATTACATTTTATCTCTTTGAGAAAGCATAGGATTTCTTTAAAAAAAAAGACTTGAGTTTTTACCTGAAATAAATACTAGAGTAAAATATGGGAACTTATGAATTACCCTCTTTTCAGATCAGCATCCTGTGAGCCAAGAAATCCATTTAGTTTGTTGGCTTGATTTAACCTTATCATCTGAGCATTCAGAAGCCTACCTATTTTCAGGAATACCTGTTCAAAACTATTTCAATGAAATATAGAAGCCTGGAAAATGTACAAATAAAATGGCCAAGAATCCTCAGTAAAGGTTATCCTCTAGTTAGGCTTTGCTCTTTTATCTGAAGGGTTGTTCAACACAGTGTAATTAAAGTGCTGGAGTAGGACCTTGGGAATCCAAGATCACATCTCCTGGCAGTCAGAAGTTCATTAGATGACCTTTAGACAGCCACTCCTTCTAAGAGCTTATCGTAGAGGAAATGGGGGAGAATATGCTTACACATTATGCCTATGCTTCTAAAACTGTAATAGCTAGTTTAGTGGTTAAGGCATCAGTCTAGAAATTGGGAGACTGTGACTTCCAATCCCACCATGGGCATGAAGCCAACTGGGTAACCTATGGCCAGTCAATTTCTCTCAGTGCTAGGAAGGAGGCAATGACAAACCTCTTCTGAAAAATCTTGCCAAGAAAACTGCAAGGATTTATCCAGGCAGTCTCCGAGAATTGGACATGATAGAACAGAAGGGAAAAAACTAAAGGAAAAATGGGGTAAAAATCAAAAGCATTATTATTAAGGTTGGTTGCACATAGCCAGGTATTTAGATTTGACATTTTTATCCATCTATCAAGTCCTTCCCAAGGAACTATGATAAGCAGATGTGTTGTTTGATGTTGTGACCCACCAAGCGGCTAGTGGAGCTGGTGGCAGACTCGGACAGTGAGGAGGTTGGGGAGGAACATGGGCCAGTCCTGGAGTCTGGGGAAAGCTCTGACAAGTGCTCTGCATCAGAGGCAGAGATGGGGCCAGCGCCGTCCAATAGTTATCAGCTGCCTTTGGAATCAGAGATCAGTGGGGCAGAAGAACAGCTGGAGCATGTTCCCAATGTGCACATGTGCAGAGCTGCCAGAAGGGAACAATTAAGGAAGAAGGGTCAACTCAGGAGTAAAGGCACAGGTGGATGGTGAATGGCCCCTCCCATAGGGAACAAAAAGCAAAAGGGGAGTGGTGTTTGCAGGAGACAATTAGTTCATTTAATTAGGGTGAAAATTTGTTCATGATTTCTTGTCAAGTATTTTTTGGTACAGCATTGTGTTTGGAAGCTATTGGCCTGGCAACTCTCTAAGCCTGATAAGCTCTGTGGTTGTAAATCACTTTTGAAAGACTGTTTGCCTGGACTTTGCTGGATGTGAATGATAGGAATTTACATTAGCCTAATAAAAGGGGTTTTTGTCAGAACAAGGAGTCTGCTTCATGATTTTGGTGAAGACTAGGTTAGAATATTTGATGGTATTAAAGATATTGTTCCAAGATATAAGCTATTTCAAAGAACTTGCCTTTTGCAATTTTGTTAATGCCAATGGTGTTCAAGTGGTACTCTAGATGTTTTGGGATTGTACCCACGATGCCTATTACAATTGGTATTACTTTTGCTTTCTTTTGCCACCATCACTGTATTTTGTGATTTTCTCCAGTTCTTTATTTTGCTGTCTCCAGGCACTGCCACCTCTACTATCCAAACTTTGTCTTTCTTATCAACAATTAAATCTTGAGGAATTATGTGGCAGATGTTTGCCTATTTGAATTCCAAAGTCTCAAATCATGTTAGCATCATCTTCTATTCCTTTGTCTATTTTTGGTCCCACTTCCTACTGGAAGGCAAATGGTATTTCTTGCAGATATTCCAATCATAATTATTGGAACTGTGCATTGCCATTGTTCGTATTTTTTTCAAAAGACAGCAAGAAAAGAGCAGTGGAACTTCCATCCACAGTTAAGCAGCTCTGTTGACTATATGAAATGTCTTTTAGAATATTTATATTTAAAGATATCAAATAATCTGCCTCTATGTATTCTTCTGAGAGTGGTGGCTATATATATTTGATAAATGATGTCTCTGTGTATCAATAAAGGATTGATAATATTTGTAACTTGGTTGGGATGAAGGGTCCTTGATGCTCTCTGAGCTGGGTGATTTCTTGCAGATATTTCAAAGTAATCTAGCACTGATGATGTTACCTAGTTTAGGTAATGAAATGTCTGCAATAAGACAACTTAGTTCAGAGAGCACCAAGGATGTTCGATGTCTCTGTGTGTACTCTAATGCGTGTGTGTGTATAAATACTTCATTGCCTAAGAGTAACTAAGACACTGCAAGATCATTATGGCTTATTTGTCACACATTGTCCCATTAATACCACATCACTCCCTGGCAGAGTGAATTGGATTATTCTGATAAGAAACGGACATCATAGATGGTTTCAGAAGTCTTGTATAACTTGTGTTTATACACATTTCAACTACCATGACAAGCTGTAAGATTTCTGCATTGTTAACTAATGGCAAGAAAACATTTATATAACCAGATGATTCTGTTTTGCACTTTGTATTTATCTTTCAGACAATGCAATTTTTGGATGAGAAATCTTATTAGAAGCAGTTTCTCTGCTGGAGTACTGAAGTTGTATGCGTTTTGGCTAACTGAAAAAGCAGCTGTATTGTGTATGTACGCATGTACACATACAAACTTAGCTACACAATTATGATTAATTTTTAAAATGGATTTGCATGGATTATACAAAATAAAACATAGTATGAAGAAATAAATGTCCTTCATTTCAGTATTTTTTCAATATTCCCCATAATATCATATAAGGCTGGTCAGTATCATTATATAATGCTGGTTTTCCCCAAGTTACTGAAACATACAGAAAAAATTGGAGTCACAGATTAGCTCTCAGTTTAATGTATTATTATGTTACACTATCAAAGCTTATTCACATGGTAAAATTTCCAAAGTTTCCTTAAAGGTTGTCCACACTAGTTGCTACCATGCCTGAACAGAATAATTTTTGACAGCTGAACTTTTTTTAAAAAAATAAGTCTGGCTATAGTTACATCATTTTTTCCATTCACATTTAAAATAAAATAAAAGAAGCTGAGTGGTATCATTTTTAAAAAAATCACATTTCTACTAAGTTTTATTCTTTTCTATGCTGCATAAAGTTCTTGGGTATTGTGCTTTTTTAGCGCTGATGAAAGATATAAAAGTCATCAGAATGCAAAATAGCTACCAAGATTTTATTTTAATTTTGAAACTGGTTGTTGTGCTTGTATATAACTTAGTCTGTATGAATTTTATTTTACTTCATTAGATCAGTGTGTGCATGCGTGTGTGTGTTTCACACAAAAGTATGTATATACACTAAGACCTGCCAGCAAGAAGGTCACAGGTTTTTTGGTAGAAAAAGAGGAAAATTGTCCAATGGGGGGACATCGTAGCCTTCAGTCCTGAGTAGTTTGCAAACTTGCTAAGACTTGTGTCTGTCTTAAGTTAGTTTAAAGTCTAGCTGCCACAAGCAGAGGGCAGGAGCAGTTTAAACAACAAGTTCAGATTTGTCCATCAGGTGGAAGGTAGCATTGGTGTCTCAAACCTCAGTTATGGGGGATAAACACACAGGAAGCTCCCCCTACCCCATCCCCAGTAGGTACATCTATGACAGCAGAAATTATCAGGGTGCTAACTCAAACTGCAAAGTAGGGTCCATGGTTGGTGCGAAAACTCAGAGGGTTTCTGTGAGGAGCAACTTCAGACCTTGCATTCCACTTATAGGCTTGCCCATTCTTGTGGCAAAAACAAGACAGGCTAGAGAGGCAGAGTAAAGCACCATTTCCTGATTTCCGTTCTCCCAATGTTTGCAACCCAGCTCATGTCATTTTTTCAAAAACCTACATTATTTGAGCTTACTCTGTTCTTGCTGACCACAGCTAGTGTTCGATAATATGCATTTCAGTGTAATGTAAAAAATACACTTGTATTTTTTTAGAGGTATATGCACCCATTTAACCATGAGAAAAACTTTTGAACTTCATTGAAACAAGTTCAAAGACTTTTCTGGACAGGAATCTCATTCCTTTCAAGCCAAAAATAGCCCTTTGAAGATAAAGTTCATTCTGTTTATTTAAAAACTGTTCTGATATTGTGATAGTAATGTTTCCAGCCTCTCAGATAAATTCCACTAAATGCTTACCACTACATCTTGTATATCAGTCTTAATGAAATGATTTGAGACTGGTTACTGAAAGCCTAGCTTTTTTTTTAAACCTTAGATACTGGCACAGTCATTATTTCTTACATCTTACCTTCAAGTGCTTTCTCTCTTCCGGAAGCTGAAAGTGATCTTAAAATACTGATCCATCTCCAGGGATAAATGAAGATAAAAATATGGAGGGACATAATTTACATCTGTGGTATCTGAAGCCTAGAGCCACAATTAGGATTGCACATTAAGATACAAATTTGGTGAATGTTCTGCTGAAAGGTATCTTCCATGTAGTCTCCTTTCAGAACTACAGTTCCCTGGAGAAAGGGAATGGTTATTATGCCAGGGAGGTTTAGGTTCTGTGAAAACATAACCCCCACTGTTGGCCCATAGTTTAAGCAAGG